AATGATTAAAAATAACTTAAATTATAATTTCACAAATATATAATTTAACATGATGAGTTTAACAGTGTGAATTTTGATAGAAAAATTTAATCTGTAAAAAATAAGAAATATTCCAACTTCTATAATGGTAAAAACTCGTTGTTAAAACTTTAAGACTTTAACCATCTGATTTTTATCGGACTTACTAATGTAGTCCGGAACAATAAAAAATTTGTTCCATTTTTTGAAGATCCCTATCGCTGATGGAAGAGTTAAAATTTTGTCGACGGAAGATTAAAATAATTATGTAAAGGAACATGGTCTGTCTTACATCATGACATGTCTTTGTATTTGTCTTAGCGCCAAAACACTACCTCTAAATAAAATTTATAATATTAATATTTAACATAAAAATATTATACTAATTTATAATGTTTCTTATTAAATCTATAGTGTCAAATTTAACCTAATTTAAATCGCCGCTATTTCTTAGGCTATAATTAGATTAAATTTGACACTATAGATAACAGTGGTGTATCTCGATCAATATCTATAAGATTCTTATGTATTTTACTCCGTAAAATAACAGAAAAAGGCAAGATTGGATAGTGCTAAGTTAAAAAGATAAAAGTTAAGTTAAAAAATTAAAAAGTTAATTAATTTTAACTTAATTTAGTTATTATTTTATCGGTAACTATTAACTTTTAATTTGATTTTTTTTAAGTCAATCCTTAGATGACAATGCGAGAATCTAATGAGTATATAATTTAGTAATTTTATATTGTATAATCGTTACCTGTGAACAAAAATAGCCAGATTCAATAAATATGCTGTAAGAAAGGAAAAATACGAAAAACTATGTAAAATAGTCAAACTGTTTCTTTTTTTTTTTTTTGGTTATTCGTTCGATCCAAATTTAACGTTTAACTTTTTAATTACTTTTTTTATTAATTTAACTTTTAATTCAATTAATTTTATTATGGATTAACTTGTGTTTTAATTAAGTTAAATTTTTGAGGCTGTTAATTTTAACTTAATTTAGTTAAAAAAAACAGTTAACTTACCCAACTCTGGAAAAAGATTTGTAATTTATAAATTATTTAAATTTTCAATATTTTAGTGGCTAACATTAAGAAATTTAATAATTCAGGAGCATATAACCAACCTTCGCTGTTAAGAAGTCATATATTCTAATAAACAAGTACAATTCGTAAACGTTTCGGTCAACATTTGACCATATCCTCAGTACATTTCTAGTAACATTACATTTAAAACTGAAATCAATCGATAGTGATCTTAATCTAAAAACGCAAACAACATTCGCTTAATCCTACATTCTAAATAAAAATGTCGCATATTTTGAAAAAAGGCGTAAGCAGTTTAATTAATAATTGTACAAAAAGTTCGCCGAATTTAATATAGTGACGTTCAATTCTTTATTTTTAATTATTAACCGAAATTCCATTTGGTATAAATACTGTTAATTTTATGTCAAAAGGTGGAGATTTTTTCTTCTTGATCTGACGCAATTTTTATATCTGACCACGAGACCAATTCGAGTCCTTTTTATATTTCTGGAACTCTCTCATGTTCAATACCCGTGATCGGCCCCAACAGGAGACAATTTTTGTACAATTATTAATTAAACTGCTTACGCCTTTTTTCAAAATATGCGACATTTTTATTTAGAATGTAGGATTAAGCGAATGTTGTTTGCGTTTTTAGATTAAGATCACTATCGATTGATTTCAGTTTTAAATGTAATGTTACTAGAAATGTACTGAGGATGGTCAAATGTTGACCGAAACGTTTACGAATTGTACTTGTTTATTAGAATATATGACTTCTTAACAGCGAA